GAAAACCTATGAATCGTGAATCGAATCGATTCGCTGTCTACCCAAAGATTCACAGCCCTAGTTAAACCCCTTTATTAGCTGATAGCCACCTGTGGAGAATGATCAGACCTGGCGTTTTCCCTCTCAGGATCTCCATCCTCCTCTCTGGCATTAGAAGATGAATTATAGAGATGAACAACTGTTGCAGACTCTCAGCCCTGTGCAGCTCTGCTCCTGTTTTTCATTCATAATGCAGACGCTGCTGTTGCAGATGCCCACTAGCTCTTAGCACCAACAGGACACGCCAGGACCGGTTGGATTCAGACAGTGAGGAAAGGAGAGGATTGTTTTGTCCATGCACACATCAAAGGGATAGTTCACCCCAAAATGAAAATTCTCATCATTTGCTCACCCTCATGACTGACTGACTTCTGTGGAACGTAAAAGACATTTTGAAGATTTTTTTTTGTCTATTTAATGAAAGGGAGATGGAAATGTTTTTCAAAATATATTATTTTCTTCGTCAAAACACATTTTTACATGTGTATCTCCTGAGGCATCCACCTGTAAAGGGTCTTTTCCCACCCGTATGTTTTCCAGACAAATTACAGCTAGCCGTGGCAGTCATTTATGGACTCCGTTTATCTTGCTACAGGAATGCATGCTCACTTTGTTCTTCAGCAGTGATGTAACCGGCCCAGAGCAATAAGTGGAATGAATATGAAACTGTGGTTAAAGCGCCTGTCACAGCAAACCTGTGAAGCGGAGATCAGAAGAATACAAGAGAGGCTCTCCCAACCAATCATACCCATTCAGCTCCTTTCAAGTGCAAACATTAGTCATGTAGTCATCACACCAGCAGGCCCAACATGATAGTGAGCAGGCGTGTGTGTGCGTTTGTGTGTGGTCTTTGGGTATCATGTGACAGAGAACAGGAGATCGCTTTCTTTCCTTTCACCTTTACTCTGTCCCTTCGTTTCTTTCAAAGGGTGTGTAGAGCGCCACCATGGAGCTATAGGATGCCAATTATTAGTGTTTTAATGTGAGGTCTCACAGGAATTCACATTTCATTTACTTATTCATGAATATGCAAATAAATTCCTATAAACCTATAAATTCACATAACATAGTGAATAGTGGATCTAAACAGCACACATCACTTGGTTTGCTGTGTTGCAAGGTCCAAAGGTGATTATTCCTGCAAAATTTGGAAATATTAAAAACGGGATTTATTTTTCAGGCCTTAAAAAGCCATAGAAATTAGAAAACTTTTGGACGATTCTGATAAAAATCATGGAAATTTATCTAGCCAAAAATTATTTTAATTATGTGTAGATCTAAAGTGTTTCTTTGGTTATATACATTTTTTTTTATTATTCTTATGTAGCCATTACAAATGGCTGATTATTGTAAAATCATGGAAATTGGATATTGAAAAATTATGGAAATAACATGTCAAATCAAGTGTGAATTTTGGTGTGACTGTAAACATGTGACATTATTTTGCATTTATTTATTTCAATCAATTATACAGTTTGTACATTTCTATGAATTTGTGCATTTAATTTAGAAATTTCTGATATGCCATTTACTTCTGTTTCAAACCCATGCAGCCTAGTTTAATTTCCTTTCATTTATTGTTATTTATTATTATAATTTTTTTATTTAAAACCAACAAAATGAGTTTCCTCTATTTTTGATTCTCAGCCTGGTAAATCTGTAATGTTTAGATCCTCTTTTGGTCAGATGTCTATTTGGGTTGCAGATTCAACAAACTTTTTATATGCAGTAAAAGATGCATTTGCTTGCATACCTGCTTTTTATGCGAATTAATGTAAGTGAATAGATTGCAAACCCTTGTCTGACCTCCCCCAACCTCCTCTAAAAGGCTGGGCAACCTGTTGTGCATTACGCAGGGCATCTTTCTCCAATATGTCCTGGAGCTGATGTAGTGAGATAATGATCCTGATTCCTGATGATTTATTTGCTGGTTTGTACCTGTCAGATGCCTTTGAGGTGATCAGCAGCAGATGACAGCTGTGTTTTGGCATAGGGTGAAGCTTGGAGGGCTGCCACTCTTCTTTAGACTTTGCCAGGGCTGTGTTTTCTGTCTTTACTGCTCTTATCTAATCTAGCTAGCATATTTATCCGGTGAGCTTCAGGTAGCACGGCACCCTGATGGTTTTACAGACGCTTTCTCAGATTGCTTGTAACACATGTTTCTCTTCCCAACCAAACAGGTTAAGACAAAATATGACAATGGGAAAATAAAAGATGTGCGAGAGACGGGACAAAAAAGAAATATGTGTACTGTTTTATAGCATAGTGTCCTGTAATGGGATACAGAAATGTAGAAACGGGTTACACTGTAAAAAAAACAATCTGTGACATTTACGGTAAAATACCGGCAGCTATGGTTGCCAGAACTAAATCTATATAGAGTGCCTTATTGTAGTAATTAAAATATCGATATTTGGCGCCAGATATCGATTTTCGTATCACATGGAGAAGGACAACGATATATCGCCATATCGATATATTGTCCCACCCCTAATAGATATATATAGATATATATAGAAGGTGCACAATGTCATTCACACAAACACTAAACACCATCATGGTAACACACATGATACTGAAATTTGATGCATCACACCTGGTTAGAATAAGGCATCACACTTCCGAACTGACCCTGGATCAGCTGTGTCCCCAGTGTGTTGCAGCTGTCCACTGACAGATTGGCATCAAAGTGTTTCTGAAGCGGACCACCATCTCAGGGGGTCTTATCACCGCACGATAAAACCCTCATTAGACTGAATAATGATTGCGTTACACTTCCATGTGCCAGGAAACCATGTTTTCCTGTTTATGTGACACCGTGACATTAGAGAATGAATTAATCGCTGTTTTTTGGCAATCAGCAGGTGTGAATGTGTATATGAATGCACCGACAGAAGTGTCTCTCTTCGCTGCAGCTGATTTCAGGGTGTTTGCAGGAAGTGCTCCAGAGGAGGCCAGGATGTAGGGGGAAGTGTTTGACGTGGCGGATCTGGCAGGCAGGCAGCCGCTAGTATACCCGCTGACAAGCTCTCTTTCTTATATACACCATCCGCCCTCTCGAGTGCCTTTTGGCCTGGAATCCTTCACAAGACACTGTGAAGTGACATCAGGCAAGCGGAGGCAGAGAGCTCCTGGAAAACACAGACTGGACATGCTGTTTTTCTCAACTGTCACCTAATTGAGTAATACATCATCCGTATTTTGTGCAGCCCCCTTATGAAACTAGCCTGTTGTGAGTCTCGGCGCTTGCGTAAAGGGATTAAGTCACGAAACGCATGAAACATTTGCATGCATTTTGGTGTTTCTTTGTTCTGTGCTTAGTTTTAATTACAAGTTTTTATTTAGAAAAATTTTTGGTACCGCTTCAACCCTCCAAGATTTACTGTAATGAAATCTAGAAGATTCATGGAAGCCTGCAGGTTTGAAATGACAGAGAGAGATAAAGGGAGGAAGAAAGGAAGTGTGAGCTAGATGAAAGTGAGCCAAGAACAAGACAAGGTTAGAGAGAGGGAAATTTAGCAGTCATGGACACAGGAAATATGGCCTTGTCACCCAGGCAAGACTGACAGATGTACCTCCCTCGTCTCTTGATGACAGCTGGCAGCATGACGGACAGGTTCAAGGAGATCGGAGGAGTGGAGAATGGGGCGAGAAGGGAAGCAGAAAATGAGTCTGCACCTAATCAGATGGCATCCTTAGAGCCTTGACCTTGTATCTCGCTCGCAGTCTCTTTCTCGCTCTCTGTTTTCTGAAGCGTTCCCAAAGCCCATAAACATGTACTAGAGTAGGTGTGTTCAGTTAAACTTCCAAGAAGTCCAGTTTCTGCATTTCCTTCCCAGCAATGTTCTGAACAATCAAAGGTGCCAAAATAATCACTGTTCCAGAAATTAGTGAAATTTCTACGAAGGCATTACTTTGAGGCATCAATTTTGTGCTCCCAGTGTAAAGATACCAACATTTTAAAATTGGTATAAAAAGCCCTGAAATTAAATAATTAATATGAACTTCAGGAAAATGCAATGTAAATATTTAACATGACAGCCAAAATACCATATAAAAAGGAATATTAAGTCCTAAATAGTGAAGATATCCTCTCTCTGTGCTTATTTAGCCAGTATAAAATTGCTTAAAAATGAAGTGTACTTTTATAGTGATTTTCACTATATAAATAGCTCCAAATCACCTTTGCAGTGAATATAATGTTTTGACAAACCACAAGTGAGCAAATATAAAACAATTAGTGTAAAATTGTAATATCTATCTATCTATCTATATGCAACTAAACTAGTGTAAAACATTATTTAAAAAATGGTGTAAATTATATAAAATTGCTTAAAAATTGTATTTAAAATTCTGTAAATGTATAAAAATGTGTGTTCATTTATTTTTATCAATTTTATACAGTGATTTTCCCCCTTCTAGACATGGCTCTGAATCAGCTTTGCAGTGGATGTAAAGGTTCAGTGAGCAACCAAAAACAGCTAGTCTGTGGCATAGAAAATCTTTTTTTTTAAGGGAAAAAGCATTAGATTCTCATAAATAGCATCTCCTTTCACTTGAAACCTGCCTGATATGCTCTCTTCAGAAGCTCAGTTTTGCCATGTGGAGGAAAAAATGCTTCTAATTATATTAATTTATGGTAAATTATTCACAATCCACTAATTGGTGACCTCTGCTCTAGATGATAAAGAAGTGCAGTGCACCCATGTGACTGTCTGTCTTTTGTTACTTTCTCAGAATAATCATGCAATGTAAGGTTCAGCAAGCGGGTGAAAAGGTCCCAACAGGGCTTTCTCTCCCTCTCTGTTTGTCTCTCTGGCGTATAAGCTTGTAGCTGCCTGTCTCACGTCTTAATACTTGGAAAGAGGAAATCGTCTCTTTTCTGACGTTTTTTAGTGAATACCTGCAGACTAAATGTTTGGTAAATGTTCTAATCACTTCCTTCCACTTTCCTCCCACAGACTCCTCGGGACAGGTGACGTCCTCTCCTCTTAGCTCACCCACGTCCCACCGGGGGATGCATCCGTCACTGCTGAGCCCGACTTCATTAGGCCCCTCGGGGTCTCTGCACTCCCCCATCAGCACTCTGAGCTCGCCCATGAACGGCCTGGGCTCTCCCTTTTCTGTCATCAGCTCACCCATGGGGCCACATTCCATGGCGTCACCCGGGATGGGCTACGGCCCCAGCATCAGCCCACAGGTAGGGCCACACTCTGAGACCCTCCATTAGAGCTGTATTTAAAGAAGCGCTCGAATCCAGAAATCGTATTTGTGCTTCATAATTAAACATTGTTACAAATCGTTCAGTTTAACTCGTCTATTCTGTCTCACTCGCTCTCTTTCAGTACTTTCGCTCAATCTGTCTTTTGTTCCATAAATAGGCCTGCACATCTCTTTGTCATTTAAAAAAAGGCTCACAATTAAGACATCAAAGCTGGCAGTGTCCTAGTTTTCTTTGAAAGCCTGATCCACAAGAGTGAAATGGTTTTTAAATTCACGTGTATGTGGGGGGAAAAGTGGAGTGTTGTCCTTTTTTTCTCATTGATATTTGTACTGAGGTTTTTCGCCAAGCTTTTCACTCATTTTAAATTATAACATTGTTCATTTCTAGGAAGTTAAAGTGGATTTTGAAGTGAATACATTGAATACAAACTGAAAAAAAAAAATACTTTCTGAGCTATGTGTCAGGTTTATACATCACATAATCCAGTTTAAGGCCCTTTTAATACATGTTTGATAGCTTGGAGGTCTATATTGTATTTCTGTAAAATACTGTAAAATTTATTCAAAGGTTCTATTCTCTAATATGAGGTAAGTTAAGGTTAAAATAGCAATGAAAGATACTTTTACAGCATTCATCAATCTAGTTAATGTTAATTTCTACTTTAATACATACAGTATTATATATTTGTGTGGTGGGTGGGGGGTTAAATATAAATTAAAATTAGAACTATTATGAATAAACATGAATTAACAATGAACTATAGTATAGTTACAGATAAAAGAAAACCCAAAATTCTATAAAAATGACACTTTTACCAGATATTTCACACAAAAGTGTTGTAGTTGGAAAATTGGAACATGCTGATTACAGAACCGGCTTTACTGATAAGATGCGCGATAAATATCGCATGCGATTAATCGTGCAGCCCTATTTGAAACCTTTGAACAATGGAAAATTCATCAACACATGACAAAAAACATTGATAAACAATTTCGTTGTGTCTTTAAACTTGCTGTTATTTGGTAGCAACAGTTGTCAGAGTCCAGCCAGCAATCCAAATACCAAATATATTGGTTCAATACATTAGTTTCCATCTTAGACAGTTTTCAATGAGCCATTCATGATCAATCACATCTGTATCTGAAGCTTCGATTGTCTGTACTGTACAAATGCTGAAATTTTGAGTGCAGATTTGGTTATTGCATTGATTTACAGTAGTAAGAGGTGCCTAGAGAAACCAGTTTCCTCTTTACACAGCACTGTTCATCTCTCTCTCTCTGGGTGGGAGGCAGTCATGGGGTCTGATGGAAGGTGATTTGAGTCAGACGGCATTTGTCACTTATGTTTAGCACTCGGCTGACTGGCTGTTTTCAGGCCCAGCCGGGTGGAACGGGGTTGCGACTCGGTCCCTCTGTATTTAACCTCAGAGGATCTGGAACAGGCACCCCACTGGCACCAACCGCCCAGCAACACGCTATGCAATTCCACAACATTCAACATACACACGGCAAGAGTCAAGATCAATCATCGTTTTGTTCCCTAAATATTCGTTTCAGAGGTTTAACACCAGCAAATTTAACCACTTGCACTTTTTGAGCGTCATTTTTACATTGGAGTCCTTAAAGTTTGCCAACAATGGGCAAGAAAGTTTAATTCACTTATTTAATTTTCACTTTCATAAAGACCAAATTTACGTAAATTAATAACCATAAAGGATAATTTTTACTAAATTAAACCATTAATTATTTTATTTGTATTAGAGCTGTCAAATCGATTAATTTTGATGAATCGCATCCAAAATAAAAGTTTTATACAATGTGTAATGTGTACTGTGTATATTTATATGTGTATATATATATAAATACACACATACTGTACATGCATATATTGGAATATTTAAATGTCTGTATATATTTTTATTTTATTCATATATTTAGATATGATTTATATTATATGTAAATATATTTACGTATAAATATACACAGTACACACACAAATAATATGTAAACACAGACTTTTATTTTGGATGCGATTATTCGATTCGACAGACCTAATTTGTATATTAAATCACTCTTTTATATATTCATTTTTGTAGTTATTTATGACTTTATTTCTTTTATTTGTATTATTCTTATACTTTCTTTCCTGTGGCATATAAATGCTGAAATGCTCTCGTTAATCTCATTTATTTTTATTTTTACATAAATATTTTGTAATATGCCAGCACCTCAGGGTTGTGTCTCAGATTTTAAGTGTTGTACTGGCAGTGTCATGGCACCTACTGAGTGTAAAACAATAGGTTTTTGTTTTGTCTAGTTTAGTGTGTCTGTGTACAGTTTCACATCATAACAGCATCCACCTCTCTAAAACAGCATTGTACAATGCACATTTGTTTGAGTTGGATTGTGGCTTTCATGGATATCTCTCTTTTCTTTTGAAATGTTTGGATTGGCCACACTTGGGGAGGCTGGATTTGACAGAGACGACCCACAGCCATAGCTTCAGTGACTCAGTCTTGCACACACAATCACAAACGCTGTCAGCCACCTGTAGACCTCAATCCCACCAGCCCTGGCACAGCACAGACTCTGCCGTCTCCCCGCAGCTGGCACACATGAGGTAGAACGTGGTTCGGTTTACACTTCCAGTGACAGTCACAGCAGAGACACCGCTCTGTCTGCACAGAAGAATCCCCGAACATTTGCTAGCTCTCAATCCAGCCTAAATGGCTTCTATTGGTTCAGTGTGTACTGTACTGGAAATTGTTACTGGAAAGTCATTATCCATGTTGAGGAAACTACTTTCAAACTTTTTAATCTACTATTATTGTACTAAGTATTTAGATTATACTTTTGGAAAAGTAGTTAGCTTATCTACGATAATAACAAGCGATAACTACAGATAAGTGGGCAATATTTCTTATATATGTATTTATGTATGTATATTTATACATATCATTTAATAAGACACATTTTTAATCAGTCAGTGAATATGTAAGATAGTAACACCTCTACTTTCAATTATATATACCTCGTGGTACTGTCCTGAAGGTGCGTCGAAGACTGACACGGGAGAGAAGAAATTGTTGAATAAAGTTTGTTTTTGTTTTTTTCGCACAAAGTATTCTCAGTTTCATAACATTATGGTTTGAACCACTGATGTCACATGGATTTTCGTGGTTAGAACACTTGGTTGAGTGCATCAGACAAGACGACGAAGAGGAAGTGCTACTGTAGCATCAAGTTTTCGCAAGTTATTACACGTGCACCTGAATAATTATGTATATGTTACAATTATGAAAACGTTTTTATAAATTGCTGACAGTACAATACTGGACAATGATGTAATTTGTAGAATTTACACTTCTATTTCGAGACTTATGGTATAAATAAATTCAACTGTATAACAGTTTCACTGCAATTCTTGTTATAATGTTAGAATTAAAGAACAATAATCATAATACATATTACCGTTGCACTTATCTGTACATAGTAAATGCAGTTATTTTTAAGCGGTTGTTGACATCCTATCTAAAACGTGATTTAGCCAAAAAAAAAAAAACAACAATAACGTTACGACTCTAATATGTCTTGCAATATCCGTGCGTGCTTCTGTTGTTTAATATTCTCGGGGTCTGAATCCGGCTCAAATTGATATGGCAATATTGACGCCATCCTTAACTATATCGAAGCAGACGGAACTTGCGGCTTTGGCAAGGGGGTGTGGTAGTACTGAAACACTGTCTAAGCTGTTCGCCAATCACAACGCACTGGGACAGCTAAACAATCACAACACATTTAGTTTTTCAGAAGGCGGGCCTTCATCAAACCCGGAACTAATCGAGCCGTGTGTGCCAGGCTGGGGAGAAAGGTATTGTAATAATGTAAATTATGTGAAAAATAATGCGTTTTTCCAACCACCAAGCATGAGAGCATGTTCTAGTACACCCCCAAAACAAAATCAAGACTTTGTAAAAGAGCATAATAGGACCCCCTTAATGATGTCCTTACTACCTTTCTGGGCCAGTTGTGTTGCTATCTATGCAGGGTCAGAAAGTTTTCAAATTTAATCAAAAATATCTTAATTTGTGTTCCGAAGATAAACAAAGGTCTTATGGTTTTGGAAAGACATGAGGGCAAGTAATTAATGACAGAATTTTTGGGTGAACTATGCCTTTAAGGCTCCTGCAGGTACACATATTTTTGGTTAGTTTCAGCCTTTGTGTTGGACGCAGGTTTGGGGATCGTCTAGTAAGGAAGAGCTGTCATCTCGCCTTCACTGTCATCCTGTGATTCATTAAATAGCAGCAAGTACTTGATCCCATGACCCCTGTGGTGCCACCCGTCAATCTGTTCTGGAGGTTGTGACCCTATGACCCCATGGACAGACATCTACTGGTTTATTGTACGGTTTGGGCTGCAATGAGTAAAAAAGGTGTATTGAGAGTGGTGCACCTACAGTGTCCTTTTTATGTTTACATGGTTTTATATCATTTTCACAACAGTTCTTAAGTATTAGTCTGATAAGTATAGCTTAACTTGTATGTAACCTGGAATATTCCTTTAGGGCGTGATGATGTGAATTTAATACATTACATATGTAGCCAATAGTTAACTTTGAGACCATATGGAGAAAAAAGTACCCATGAGTTCTGACAAAGCGAGCACCCCTTCAGGCAAGTATTTGCTCAGCTCTGTGAAGCCTGTGGGGGGAGTAGGATAGAATACAAACTCTGGCCTTGACTGCGATGCTTTCACAGGGCCTCTAATGAGGAAAATATGTCTCTTTTGTTATTTTGCATTCAGATGTGATCCCAAGGTTTGTGGGAAGAGGGTAAAGAGAGAACAAAAATATAAAAGCGACTGATCATGTTTCAAGTTTCAGCTTTATTCACTTTCAGACTTTGTCTGTTAACTCCTTCGGTGCCAGTGTGAAAATCTTAGCCAAAAATCACTGCTTTGATGCTCGGATGTATT